AATATGCCTCCACGGCTTCTAAGCTATTATTATCACAGTTCAAGAATATAATTACTAAACTTTAATTAGACTGGAGCCGTAATGATCTCAATTTCTAAATTTCTTGAACAACCATGTACGCCAGGGGCGGATGTAGCTAATAAGCAATGCGGGCATGCACATGCCCCCAATAACTTTGTCCTTTTAGTTATTAAAATAATAAAAAATTATGCATTATAGAGTAGTGCCCCCAACGAAAAAAGGATGCCCCCATTAATATATCATGCGAATGAATGAAGTTGAAGTATCTATTAGCCTTTCTATTCCATAATTTTCATGGCCTCCATTTCTCAATTATTTTAATTATGTAACCTATTATTTTAATAATTTGTTCATAAAGAAGCCAATAAGGATATTTTCTAATTGCGCAGGTTTTAGCTTTTGATTTAATACTTTGTTTAAAAATTAGTTATTAGCTATTTCAATAGTTGTTGTTGAAATTAATTGTGTGATTTGGGGCTGAGTATTATGAGTTAGCCGCTATTTGCCTATTTCATTGTGCTTTCGGAAATGTCCAGAATCCTAGACATTAAACTTGTGCCTTTTGATTTTCCTTTATTAGGGTCTCATCGTCTGTATAACTGATTTACCATATTAGGGATGATTTCTCCTTGAGATTTTAATTTTACGAATTTAGTGTTAAGTATGACAAAATATACTTGGTAATTATTGTTATTTCGTCTTAGTTGATGAATAATATACTATAAAAATGTTCTTCACTAGATACTATAACTTTTAAGTGTTATATTTTATTTATATGGACAGATTAAACAATAGTAATCTGATACTTTAAAAGAAAAACACCGCCTCCATCCAATGAAAGTGGGAGATGTTGGAGAAAACGATGTATTTGTGCGATGAATATCATCAAATCATTGGTGACCTGTTTTTAAATGAGTGTCTTATTTGTTACAGAGTATATCGAAAAAAGACATACTTGATACCATTACAAACGAAATCGTGATGGATCATTTTCAAAAAAATGAAAAACTCGTGGTGAACATTTGTAACAACAAATAATCGGTGCCCCCAATGGTTAGAATTTCTGGATCCGCCCCTGCATGTACCTTTTAGAACCAAGATATCTGAGTATTCGTAATCACATTTTTTGAAGCCATGATATTCCGTATTCGTGCCTCCGTCTCCTACTAGTCACCGCCCACTAATAGGGGTGGCAGCAGGTCAGATTCATACCGGGTGAAGGCTCATCCACGGTCACCCGTTAATTTTTCATAATCCACTCACACATCCATCATCCATTAAAAATTACATCCACATCCAACTCATCCATCATGAACAGGTTATCGGGTGGATCGGGTGTGTAACGGATGAATATACATGGTCTAACTTGAAAGACAAAATACATAAATTAGATAAGGATAAATTATGACAATTAAAACCGAAAATTAAGAATTCATTAAATAATAACAACAAAAACTTGAACAATAAAGAAAGAACTGATTGTCAAACAAAATAGACATAAAACTTTTTCAAGCTTTCAAATTCTACGTCTCTGCATTGGCACAAATCTATATTTGTAGTTCAAGTGTCGTTTCTTGAAACTCTTTAATTGTCTTTATATCACCAATTCATATATATATGTGTTTTTCCATTAACAAATACATCTATATTAATATATTAATATTGATTATTATATACTTCGTATACATTTATATGCGGGTTAGTGGGTGGGTGGATGGAGCGGGTGACGGTGGGTGGATGGAGCGGGTGACGGGTCGGGTGATGGGTTGGATGAATGTTCATCCACACCCGATCCAGCACGTCTTTCAATCCACCTATCATCCATTTTGCATTCATACTTTTCGGGTTTTCGTCCATATTTTCGGTTCGGGTTGATCGGGTATCTACGGGTGCGGGTGATATTGCCAGCCCTACCCACTAATATGCACTTAGCAGAGCAAAGAAGAACTCGCTCACCAAATAACGGTTGTAAGAAAAAGTATACTTAAAACATTAAAGCCTTTGTACAAGTAAAAAAAGGCAGATCAATTAACGGTTAGTCGCTTTAAATTTTGTCAAATTTTGTCAAAAGCAAAATTCTGCTAAGACAAGCAAAGCGCATCTGACCGGGGTTCGATTCCCCGGATGCGCATTATTTCCTTTTTTGTTACAATTTCTTTTTATCCCTTTATTGTACGTTAAATTATAAGGTACACCCGGACAGAGTCGGCCATGGTGGTCAGGCACCTAGGCAATGGCCTAGGGCACCACATCCATGGGGCATCATTTTTTTTAAAACCACTATTATATATTGGCTATAACCACATCCTAGTATTACTACGTATTACTTTAGTACTTTGTATAAGGCAAAATAGCCGCAGTAGCAAAAAATGAATAGTCAAAGCTACAAAACAATTTAATACTCCTAGAGTGCCCAAACCGATCATGGCGCCCAATAGGAAATTAGGAGTAGTTCAATAGTCACTAATCTATTAATTTATTACCCTTGAGTGCCCATCAGTATATCTGATTTTTAAAATTAAAAAATATGGAGCATATGGTCAAACAAAAGAGCGGCCGAGAGTATCCATACAACAACTAACCATTCTTTGATTTCTTTATGCGGTTTTGCCAGCCGCCGGTAAGGTAGCAAATTACTACCTCCGTCCTCTTAAGTTTAGGACAAAGGGGTGTGGTGTGGTTTTCAAGAAAAAGTAGAATTGTCTGGTTGGTATTGAATTGATAAAGTGTGAATAAAGTAAAATGAATTCTAGCCACTCAAACATTACCTAATATGATATAAGACAAACTTAATGGCACGGACGAAAAAGGTAAAACTAGACAAACTTAGGGGGATGGTCGGACGGAGGGAGTAGAATTTAGAAATCTGCAATTCTGGTAACAACTAACTACCAGCCTTCATATTTGAGATTTTAGTATTGGTAATTCGTTATATTTAAACTATAATTTCTTCAATTCTTCCGCAATCCACAATTCATAGAGATTAAAAACTGAAATTGGTAAATGAGTTGAATGCTGAATGCTGATGTTCAGAATGATAATGTAGATGTATTGCCTGTAACTCTTGATACGACTGAGTTATGTGATCCGGGTAACTGGAAAGTACACATTTCTCAAAAAAAATAAAGATTTCCTAGTTGAGAGGGGCCTAACGAAAATAAGTGGTCATGATTATCGTCTATCGTGTTGATAAAAAACAGAGCTTTACTGACAAACACTATACTCGGTGCTTGACAAATGGTGAAAAATACGACCGCCCATGATTAATGTACCCAATGTGAAAAAAACAAAGTCTATTGTTTTTGTTTTTATTATTTCATATTTAATTGTGTTATTAATTTTAAGTTCTATTTTATCTCATGAGTCATTCTCTGTCTGGGGCATCAAAACTCCTATAGACGGCCCTGCACCCGGATATATTTGTAATTCTCTTTAACTCTGAGTCTTCTCCTCCTACTTTACATCTGTTGCACGTTGAGCCTTCGCCAACATCACCTACAACTCATATCTCATTGACCGTACAGAAATTGCTCCTCGCTGATTACTTCGATCAAACCAGAATCAAAATCATCGCTTGGACTGCTGCTAGAGCTTTCACTACTGCATCCAAATCAAACTTTGAGATATTAAATCACTATAAAATATAAAACGATTAGTGCAGCTTGTGGATATGCTCTTTAAAGGGAAGATTGGAAAAAGAAAGAAAAATTGTAGAAAAAGAGCAATAGATCCCTGGGAGCTTTTGTATCTTGTTTCCCCTCACACAGATCCAAAAGTCCCAACTCAATTCGATGATTTCATCCCCCACCTCCAATAATTAATCTCTAGCCGCCTTGCCGTCCATCAAGCTTGTAGCAGGATTCATGACGAGGAACAGACTTATAGACTAAATTGTTAATAATAATTACGGTAGATTATATGCACAATATATATAGAAATGAGTTTTATGTTAAATTCAAATGAGTATAATACCTAAGAGAATATTTGAGCAAATTGGAGATTTCAAATGAGCTTTTTGGATTTTTTGATGCTCATTTCATAATTTATTTATGTTCATTTGATATTGGTGTAATACTCATTTTAAAATGTCATATTCATGCATATTTCAACGCTAACGCTCTGAGCTTCACCATCATCATCAACCGGTGACCAGAGTTCTTCCATTGATGCAATCTGAACAAGAGTGAATTCCATCTTGCTGCAACCTGATTTGTTCGAGTCTCACCTGGGTTGCCCAATCGCCAGCGCTCCGGTCCGTCACAATTCAGGCATCTCTGGTGTGTCTTCGTTCCTCCATCTCTGATGTTATAGAGATTCTAGATCGATGACAACGTTAATGCTCTGTATAGACTAGATTCCAGTGATATTGATCTGGCAGATCAATCCAACCCTTGCGGCATCGTTCTAACATACCAAACGAGCATAACACTTAAACGAAATGAGCATATACAAATGAGATTTGAGCACATTATGCTCATTTGGTACTAGCATTATGCTCATTTTAAAATGTCATATAAGTTCATATTTCAAAAATATCATGATGCTGAATATTAGACTCATAATACTCAACATAATAAGTGTAATGCTCAATAAAAGTTCATGAATGTTCATCTAACAGAAACCGTGATCTTCATCTCAATGAAAGATGTTTGATGCTCAATGAAAATGTTGTGACCTTCAACTAACAAACCTTACGATAATGTGAATTATAAATAACATTATCGTAATTACAAATATCATGATATTACGTATTTAGCTTCATGTACATTCACATTAGTTGAAGGTCACATTACTTGTAATTACAATCTCATGTAATTACAAGTAACATTTTAATGTACATTAAAATGTTACTTATAATTACGAGTATGTAATGTAACATAATTATCTCATGTATTACATAAATATGTAACATTTTATCATAATATTACATAATTATCTTCATGTACATTCACATTACTTGTATTACATATTTGTCTTCATGTACATTCACATTATTGTTGGTCTTTTGTAAATATCGTAATTACAAGTAACATTTAATGTAATTCCGGATAAGCTAAGTAACCGCAGTATTACATTCAAATAAAAAATTTGATGGATTCTGTTGAAGCTTAGTACCGAATAAGCTAAGTAACCGCAGTATTACACGGTGGTACAGTAATAATTTTCATTAGAAATTTAATACTCCGTACTCCTTTACAGTTACTACGTGATAGACTGATAGATCTCAACTTTCAGTTTTCAACATTTCAGCTCAGTCATCTTCTCCTTTACTCCCTTTCAGAAGCGAGTAAAAATAAACAGCAATAAATGGTTGGTAAGGTAAGTTTTACAAAAGACATTAGAGATACTTCTATTACAGGCCGTATAAATACAGTAATACAGTATCTATATATACTGTAAAAACAACAGAGACATATAGGCCGGAGGATCTCGAACGTTAATTAACAGTACGTGTTACAATCTAAGCAAAACAAATTTTATGACGGTTTTGCACGCCCCCTTTCTCCATGCATTTTCCTATAGACGCAAAAAAAACACAAACAAACAACAGATAGTAGTAAACCAAAAGGCAAGGGTACAGACAGGTAAGTCACATCACATGTATAAAGAATGGACTTTCCTACTGTCAATCCAAGAAAGGATCTTTCTCCCATGCTTAGTACTTTGCATGGTTGAAGCATTCATTCTGATTAGATCCATAAGTGCAACTGACCAATGCCCCTGCATTTATAGTTTTATACAACATAAAATCATAAGTAACTGTATGTTCCAAAAGGTTGAATCCCCAACCATAAGGGCCCCACACCTTGACCTAACATTTGGGAGATGCAAGTCACGATGACTCAATCGGTCAAATTGTGGTAGTCCTTTTATGCGCACTAGAGGTCCTACCCAGCATACAGGGGTGGTAACATCCACACGGTAGCTGTAAGTTTTGATCCTTGGTCAATGTTTCAACATTCCCATCCTCAACTAAATGTGCTACCCGTGCGGGTGAACCATAAATACCTATGTTATTAAAGGCCTGTTTGGTAATCGTTATTTGGTTTGATTTGCAGAAGTTTGTTTGTACAAAAAACATTTGCTAATACAGTAATACTCCCTCTGTCCCGAAATTATTTTCATTCTTTCTTTTTCGGTCCGTCCCAAATTTATCTTCTCTTTTCCTTTTTGGCAAATAATTTCTGGTTCACTACCATTCTTACACATTTCTCTCTCCTCTGCACAAATCTCCACCACAAATTTCCCACTATCTCAATCCCCGTGCCCAGTAAAAACCGAAGTTAATTCTGGGACGGAGGGAGTACTGTTTCTATCCCTATTTAAAGTTCATGCTTCACATTTATGATTTTCAATATTCAAATTTGACCATTGTTATTTCCATTTTTGTATATTTACAAATTTTATTGAGAATAAAAAAAAGTATGCTAAAACAGGTGTTCATGACTTCATGTTATAATTTGTAACAGTTTTCCCATGATTAATGGTTACAAGTTAACAAGTTAATACTTGCTTATCCAAATGATGCCTAATGAATCTTATGATCACCATGTTGTTCAAGAACAAGCTAAGCTAGAGGTGGGTCAGAAAGAATGAAAGAACTTACAGTTGCGACATTGAGTGCTTTCTGGATGACATAGTTAGCAAAGGGATCCACAAGAAGCCTAGGGGCCATTGGGCTTTGGATCAATTCCCTTAAAATTTTAGCAGAGTTTTCTCCATATTTGAGAAAGAACTTCTCAACCACATTGCTGGAATATTTGTTGCAGCAAAGGGGTGCAAACCTCCCTTCAAGAACTCTGAAAAGTGAATCTTCAACTTTGGGTATGTTCTGCTCTAAAAGATGCTGGACCACATAGTTGCTGGATGGGAGTAGATAGTACATAAAGAGTTAAAGATCATGTTTTTATGAATACTATCAGGCCGGGTGTTCGGTTTCATGAATGAAAAAAGCCAAGAAGTTAGATGCTAACCCATAGGGATCTTCTGAGAGCATGGCAGCATTAGCTAAAATCTCAAATACCAGACGGTTTCTAGCCTCTCCACGAGCATTCTCCACGCATAATTGCAGCATTCGGCACCCTCTAATGTGGGTTGCCACTTGGAAGCATTTGTCAGTAATTTCCTTGATTATGCCCTACAAATTTGGTTGTTAAAGGAAAAAAAGATGGTCATTTTGCTTGTTACCATTCGCACACCAAGAGAAATAAGTCATAAAATAAGGTGAATTTATGAGGTAATTTGTTGTGAACATGCATAACATTTAATTTCAAGAAAAAATAAGGTTGCATATTCAAAGTAAACATTTTTCTTAAATGGATTTTGGTCTTAAACTAGACTAGATAGATTAGACTTCATCCAACTTAAACGGATCTAACAAGACAACAAACTTAAATAATCTAGATCATACATGACTTGAACTAGACAATATAAAAAAGAAATAATTTGAGTTTGCACAACATTTTATTGTCCAAATTGGATGACGTGCACTTGTCGTGTGTGCACTCAAAATAAATTTCAATACTAACACTTATACGTAGTATAGTGTAGTAGAGTTCGTATCCACAGGGAAAGGAATAACTCTTCTTTTTATGTAACTAGTAAATAAAGGGGGGGTTTTGATCGAGTGATTTGATTAAAATTAAACACGAAGATGAACGAGTTATGTGGTTTAATTCAAAGATAAAAGGGACTTGGTATTGCTACTTTACACTTGTTGATATATTTTAGTCGATCATTGTTATATCTATAACTTATCTCCTCTCGAATACTCAATCGAGGAGTATATCCAATTCATCGAGGATAGTTATTAACAACGACCGTTCATTAATAACCCTTACTATTAGTCAAGTATAGAACAACGCCATATACCGACTTGATAGTAGCATTTCATCTTTTAACTCCTTGATGAAATCAATTGAGATTGATAACCTCAACTCAACGGTTTTGGTTTAACCAACAAAATTAATCCCTCTTAAGTTTATTAACCACGACCGTGCATTAATAAACCGAAGTTACTCACTTGTGAAACTATCAACGATTAACCATCGGTTCGTTGATCGTTTGTAGTAATAATTAATAGGTGAAACAAAACTAGTTGATCCTTTAAGTAATGTTCAAAATATTAATATGAAATATGAATAGGGATTAATTAATACTCAAGGAAGAATATTAAAGAAGATGAATCCTACTATGGTTAATATCAAGATGTTAACTAATTGTCATCTTAGTAACACTCCCCGATATTAACATAGAGGAAGGAATAGTTATTACTAAGACCAATGTCAAGATGTTAACTAATTGTCATCTTAGTAACACTCCCCAACATTGATATAGAAATAGTATTTAAAGGAAGAATTAATATTCAAGGAAAAGAAGTTAAGAAAATAACTCACAACTTTAATAATCAACGAGCTTCAAGAGCAATACCAAGAAATGGAAGTTTAGCTCCTCATTTGGAGACTAAACATGCTAAAAGAAATATAGAGAAATTCTATTCTAAACTGAGCTTAAGAGTATAAAGGAATTGGTCTCTATTGTGAAGGAAAAGAGGTGTATTTATAGGCTTTTTGAGGTGCAGGTCGGGTACTCGATCGAGTATATACATATACTCGATCGAGTATGTGTAGAAATCAGAATTCGACCCATACTCGATCGGTTTTAGAGTAAATTTTATAACTATACCCGATCGAGTATGTCGGTGTACTCGATCGGGTATAGACACTCGATCGTGGGTAAAATTTTCCTGCATGTTCCTTTGCTTTCGGATCCGATTTGATTTGAAGTTTCAACAAGATACCCGATCGAGTATAGGTGATACTCGACCGGGTATAGACATAAAATTCAGGATCTCTTCTTTGTCTTGAGATTTTGCACCTTCCTTCCACTTTTGGGGTTCACCAACTGTCCTTTGAGTGATGGTATACCTGTTTGAGCTCAGAATAAACCTAATCTAAACAATTTACAAGAATTTAACAAACTAAACTATTACACCGAAAGTGTGTAATTTCCGAAATATTAAACAACCAAAACTAACTAAAAACGTAAATAAACACACGGAAATTACAAACGCATCATTGGACTTTGCACCCTGTTTTTAAAAATCTTTGTATTTGCACTCCGTTTTTAAAAATCTTTGTATTTTCACCCCAACCCCGTATGAGAAGACAAAAATGTCCCTCAATCAGGAATATATTGAAGGCCAACAGAATTGTTAATGGATACAATATATGTAAATTTTGTCATATATGTACGCTTCTAAATTATTCTTACTATATCAATTCAATATAAATAACATATATTTACTTTTTGTAATAATAGTATCACCTCTTAGTATATCAAATTTAGCAAGATGGAGGTAGTACGCTAGGAGAAGATCCACTCATATTGTAGGTAGATAAAGGTACACTTAGACTTCTTACCTAAACATTGGTTAAGCTTTTTCCCCCTTTTATTACTTTCACTTCCTTTTACCTCATCTGAAAGGGTTACACTATCTTAGGGAACACTAAGTGCATGTTTGATAGACATAAGTCTCTACCTTTTAACTTTTGCACTATTTAAAAAATCTTTAAAATGCTAGACATGCCAATTTTTAAACATGCCAATTTTAGTTGTATGTTAGACATGCCAATTTTTAAAAGCTTTATAAGAGATCTTTTTTTAGATGCTACAATTCGTAGCATATGAGAAAAGTATGTATGGAGTAGTTCTTAGCATTAAAACACCCCAACCACTTGTATACCAAATAAAACTAAATCAAACAACTACTAACTTTTTCTTTTAAGATCTCTTCAGTCACTAAAAATTAACAGTTACTAAAAAATTAATAAAATGTATCTTTTCAGTTGGTTGAGCCGAACAATATAACCTAAATTCCTATTCTTATTATTAAGCCACTAATTCAAGGGCAATTTTGGGATTGTGTAATTTTGTAGCTAATGAGTTATAACACGGACATGAAAAGATATTTAATTAACTACAATCCAAATATAAGACATTGTTTCAACTAAAAATACATGTGTAAATACGCAATTTAAAACAAATTTTCTCAAGTTTTTTGTAATTGATGAAAATTACAACGTAGTTTGGATTACAACAATCGCAATGTATTGTGGGGTCCCCAAAACACCCGTGTTAGTTCCCCAAGGCAAACCAACTTTTGTGAGTCAACATATCATTGACCTGGTCAGCGAAAAAGTAAAACAAAACATGTAGACATCATAGAGAGAAAGGAACAACCAACATATATACCTCGTTGAATTCGAAAGAAAAGTTAGTGAGGCAATATGAAATGACAAGGTGGCCATATGTGTCACAGGCCAACCTCACAGCGCCCGGACGTAAAGCATTCATCACTATGGACCTTTCCTGTGCTGAACTCATCTCTTCCATCATCTTCTGCATAGCCCGAGCCCTTCATGCACATAAAATACAGTTTAAAGTTAACAAAATCTTACAAATTCTCAAATCGCGGGCCCCAACACCCGCGGTTGAGAAAACTACAAAAAAACCAACGGGATTGACACGAACTTTTGATAGGAATTCACCTACATACATGAAGGGGCCAAATCTGTATTAATGCAGTTTTGTCCCGAGCTAGATCCAAAATTGTCTAGAAATCCATGTCAAATTAGTGTCAACCCCATTCTTTTTTAACTCACCCTCAAACCAGCAAACATATATGGAGTATTCAATTTGTTTAGAAAATTTTTAGTATACATGAGTTGTGCACAAAGTGTACACAAATTCCCGTAGTTCTCTAGTATGTTTGAAAATGAACATAATTTAATGTCAAAATTCTCCTAATTGCTTGTATATACAATCAATATACAAATTTATGTACACATTTTTTTATTTCAGTGTGCAAAGTAATTTAAAACCATACCCAATAGAATTCAGGCAAATGTAGATCAGCTCAAATGGCGTCTCCGTCAGAGTCAATATGATCCGAAGTCTCTGTTCTTGGGAGCAAGTCGAGAAAAGCTTTTGAATCAGGTAACTGCCGGAAGGGTTCTTGATCAGATAACCCGCGATATCCAAAAGCTCACCCAAGATAACCTCGATTTCTTCCTTTGTCCAGAAGTTTAGGTTGTGTTGTAAGGTCCTGCAACCCACTGGGTCACTTGCTAAAGCGAGTATCTTCCCTCGGATCTCGTCCACATTCAGTCTTGCCAGCTTTGGGTTCCATAGCTGGATTTCAGGATTTCTCGGAATGGAAAGGTTAGAAATGGGGTTTCCGGTAGAAGTATTGAGGAGCTGGAGTTTGGGGTTGTGGGTACTGTGCTGGGGTTTCTTGCAGAGCAAGAAAGGGTCAAACATCCCGCCATTTTCGAACCTGTATGACTCTTCTCCGCCGCAGAAACGCGGCCACGAATGGGCGGCGGCGGCGGCATTGAGATTAGGGTCAGTGCTAAGCTTGGCCCAACTCCAATCCGGGCCCGCACTAAAATCCTGATGGGCTCCACCGTAGCCCAACAGGTCGCCGTAGTCGTTCTGGCCCACCATCCGCGCCGCCGATGAACCCGGAGCCTGATGCGCCGTCACGGGCTGAGGATCAAATCCCCACCCCGCCGCCAGGTCAGAACCGCCCCATGAAGAACTACCCGGAAAGGCTGGCAACGGCGTAGTCTCGCGGTAAACCCGGCGGCGGGCTCCGTCAAATCCGGGTGAAATGCTGAGCCCAGAAATTTCCGACTCAAGCGAAAACAAATCATCCGTCGGAGACGACATACCCGCCGGAAGTTCAGAAGGGCGTCTCAAAACCCGGAACTTCTGGTCCTCCATTGCCGCCGTAAATCGGATATTCAAGAATCAAGATGAAAACAAGATTTATGATTATGGGTTATCTATCTTTTCCTCTCTTTTGTATTACAAAAACTAATTCTTTTTCAAAAGCAGTGAAGTAGAGGGACTGGGTCAAGAAAGCCAAGGGTTTACATTACTCCGGTCAGTATAAATAAGGGGTTTATTGCTATTAGAAGAAAAGCTACTGTGTACAGAACCCCATCATAAGAAGAAAAATACCATCTTTTTTCATTTTGAAATGATAATTAAAAGGTTATTAAGTGTGTAATAATTAGGATTGAGAGAGAGAGTGATGGAGTTGGAGTGGAAGACAAAGAGGGGGAGAAGAAAGAGAGGGAGCGTGGAGTCTGCAATCCCAATCTGCATGCAATATATGGAAATGAGGACTCTTTTCCTCTGACCTGAGGGGTGGGGTGGGGGAGGGAGGAATACCGTACGCGACGCGTCGATCGTAGGTATCGTGCGACGTACGCTCAGCTGTGGAAGAATCAGAGGGAGTTTCATCAAATTGGACGCCTAATCTCTTTTCCCTGCGTACAAACATCATTAAATTTTGCAATTTTGGTGTCACCCCCAAACCCTTGACCCCTTTTAATCCCTTAGCTCTCCCATAGTTCTGTGTTGTTTCACTTTTAAGACCCTCCTACCGATACGTATAGGGTCTTGCTGTAGCATGGATATGGTAGGATGTTTATGATGTACTCTGATCTAGAATTATCATTTATCATAGGCAGGGATGGATTTAGGGGGGCGCGGGGGGCGACCGCCCCTCTTGGACATTCAATTTTTTTTTACCATATATGTAATATTTTCATAAAACTTTCATAATTTAATTAGATTCGCCCCCCTTAGCTTTTAATTTTCAAAATTAATATATATAGTCTTACATAATGTAATACTTAATTGGAGATTTGAAAGAAGAAACATCTAAAATAATTTACATAACTTAAACAAATAAAAAATAGAGTAACTCGTTATTTAAGATTTAGGATACTTATTATATAAGAATTCCTAGTTTTGTAATGTTTAATTATCTTTATTAGATAACAAGTACTGGATTTCGTAAAACATATATCAAACAATATTAAATACCAGACACACTAATTACACAATTTTTAGATCACGTGAAATGAATCCAAAATATAAATATTTATAGACATTAGATTACATAATTCATTTACTTCTTGCTTTCTAAAAATAATTTATTGCATGGATAATAAACTCTAAATTATTATAGAATTAATAAAAATATTAAAATATAATATGCACCATATATATGTGTGTGTGTATGTGGTGCATATTATTCTAAAAATAACAATCTCATACATACTAGTATACTACTATTATAATATTAAAAAATCTTTTCATGAGTCATGACTCACGGACACCCTCCTTGGTAGACAAAAATTACAATTCAATAACCGATTCATGAGATTAAACAATGTAAAAGTTATTAAAAATGTATTGGTTGATGTCTTTGTCATCGTCTAAACTTAGAATGTAATAAATTTAAATGTCGTTCGGGATGTGCATGTATTAATGTCATTTTTTGAATAAAAATAGCCGCATAGCCCTACAGTAGCAAAAAAAAATCGCCCCGCTATACTAGGGAAAAAAATTCACCCCGCTACACTAACAAAAAAAAATCACCCCCTACACTAACGAAAAATTTTGCCCCCCTTGACTCAGAATCCTGGATCCGTCCCTGATTCATAGGTACATTTTGGAACCTATTACACCTTGTATATTTAGTAGATAATTTAGACTTTTTCTTTTACATTTGTGCCAAACAGGTTTAATTCCAACCCAAGGGCTCGAGAATGTAAAATATTATGGCCTTGTTTGGTTCAAAGGAGGGGAGGGAACGGAGAGTCAAGGTCTCAAGGAGAGAAGGAAAGGGAAGAGGAAGGAAGGATTTTGATAAAAAAATTGTGTTTGGGTGAAGGAAATAGGAGGAAAGTTTTAATGAAAATATTTTCCCAATTTATCTTTATTTGATAGCTTACTTAAAAAAATAAGATACCTCTTTAACTATTGTGAAAAAAAATAAGATACATCTCTAACTATTGTGAATATTACTCCTAAGGTCATAAATTTTTTTTTTATTTTTTTTTTATTTTTTTATTATTAAATTTTAAAATTTTTAAATTTTTAATTCGTTAATTTTTAACTTTTTCATTTTTTTTGTATTTCTATTTTTAAATTTTAGAATTTTTAAATTTTTTAATTTTTTAATTTTTTTTATTTTATTTTTTTACTTTTTTCTATATTATAACGTTTTGTCCATTCATATAGAAAATGGATAGTTTGTGGTTATCGATATGTTTCTTCCGAAATACCCGGATTTGGGGATTGAGAATGGGAGGAAGTGAGGGATTTTGGAAGTTTTTCACTTTCCTCCTCTTCCTCCTATTTCCTTCAACGAAACACACACTGATCCCTCACTTCCCTCTCATCCCCTATGAAACCCTCCAACCAAATAGGACCTCCCTCATTTTGCACAAGGAGCTCATAAAGCCCGATTATGCATCTATTGTGCCAAATTCCACCCTTGTGACTAATTGAGCTATCCATAAGGGCAAACTTTTTTCTTCTACATCTTTTTGGAATATTTTATGGGGAATTCTAACATATCTCTATTTCAAAAGTTCTATTACACCCTTAAATTAGTTTGATTAAAGGTAAATAATTTCTATTTGTACACAAAATATGAATATGTCCACATTTTATACACCATATATAAAGCCACAAATTGTACTCGTAATATTTTTGCCAATACATAATATCTTCCTCCCTCTCTTCTCCCAAATATGTGTAATGCGTACTCCATCACCTCTTTGTCATCTTCAATATTGAATATCAGCATCATCATCACCTTCTATCTTTATCAATCTTTCATGTTCATTTTCCATCTTCACCACTTTTATCTTCATCATCTTCCATTTTCACCGGGATGGACCGTACCAGTTAAGATAGGAACGAGCTGGTTCATAGGACCGGACCGTATCTAAAAATATCAGTTTTGGTGTAGGACCGGTGTCGAACTTGTGGCTCATCGGCGCCTATCTTGGGTTTGAATAATTGGGAGCCGAACCGAATGGTGCTGACGGACACTTTGTCACGGTGCGTCAAAATAAAATTCAATACTAACACTTATACGTAGTATAGGTGAAGTAGAGTTCGTATCCACAGGGAAAGGAATAATTCTCTTTTTAGTAAAACTAGTAAATAAGGGGGGTTTTGGTATTGTTGGAATTTAATTAATTAAATACTAAGATGAAAGACTTATATGAGATTTAATTCAAAGATAAAAAGGACTTGGCATTGCTACTTTCCACTTGTTGATATATTTTAGTCGATCATTGTTATATCTATAACTTATCCCCTCTCGAATACTCCATCGAGGAGTATATCCAATTCATCGAGAGTAGTTATTAACAACGACCGTTCATTAATAACCCTTACTATTAATCATGTATAGAACACCGCCATATACCGACTTGATAGTAGCATTTAATCTCTTAACTCCTTGATGAAATCAATTGAGATTGATAACCTCAACACAACGGTTTCGGCTTAACCAACAAAATTAATCCCTCTTAAGTTTATCAACCACGACCGTGCATTAATAAACCGAAGTTACTTACTTGTGAAACCATCAACGATTAACCATCGGTTCGTTGAACGTTTCTAGTAGTAATTAATGTTGAGATGTTAACTAATTGTCATCTTAGCAACACTCCCCAACATTAACATAGAGATAGATTAAGGGAAGAATTAATATTCAAGGAAGAAGATTAAATATGAATAATCCTACTATAACTAATGTCAAGATGTTATCTAATTGTCATCTTAGTAACACTCCCCAACATTAATATATAGAGGAAGAAAATAAATACTACTATAACTAATGTTGAGATGTTAACTAATTGTCATCTTAGTAACACTCCCCAACATTAATATATAGATAGATTAAGGGAATAATTAATATTCAAGGGAAGAAGTTTAAGAAAATAACTCACAACTTTAATAATCAACAAGCTTCAAGAGCAACGCCAAGAAATGGAAGTTTAGCTCCTCATTTGGAGACTAAACATGCTATAAAAATATAAAAGAAATACTATTCTAAACTGAGCTTAAGAGTATGGAAGAAGGGATGTTTTAATGTGAAGGAAAAAGGGTGTATTTATAGCAAAATAGAGGTGGCAGGGTTCGGTACTCGATCCAGTATATGGGATACTGGATTGAGTATGAGAGGAAATTTCCAGGAAATTGTGAAAAATAGGCATACTCTACCGAGTATTGCCAATACTCGACCGAGTATGCGACAGGATTTTCATCAAATATTCAGCCACGTTCTTTTGCTCCCAGATTTGATTTTGACCAGCGTATCTGGCCAATACTCGACCGAGTATTGGCAGTACTCGACCGAGTATTGAACAAATTTCAAGATCTTCATTTGATCTTCTCCTTAGAGCACATTCTTTGGTCTTTAGGATCCATCATTTGATTCTTGGGATGATTTTGACCTGTCCTAAGCTCAAAATAATCCTAATCTAAATAAATTACAAATAATTAATGAAAATAAAGTATTACACCTAAAGTGTGTAACTTCCACAACTAGAACTAATAAAACTAGTTAAAAATACAAACATACATAGTAGGAAATTCACCCTATCAAACTCCCCCACACTTAGTTTCTTTACTCGTCCTCGAGTAAAGTCAAATGTTTACAAGCTTTCCAAGTCCTCCATAGTTCAACAATTAACAAGAAAGATCAAAAGACCACCAAGAATAACACATGAGTTTTAGCTCAAAGAATAACATTTTCTTGGGTTTTATGGCCTTCTATGCTTATCTCTTTTCTTCTCTTCTTTTCTTCTTTTCCTTCAAGAGATTAAATGATGTCCTACAAAAAACAAATATATCTCTCATATCTCTCGTTTTGCCTAGGAGCCTTTTCAGGTTTTCATCCTAGCATCTCTTTTTATTTTTCCATCCTTTCCACTCACTCATTTTTTTATAAGCCCTTTTTGCTTAGATTGCCCGTTTTTGGGTTTTCAACCTAACTAGCATTTCTTTTTCTTTTTCTTTTTCCCTTTTTTTTCTTTTTTCTTTTTTAAGTTTTTTTTTTGTGAAGAAAATAATGCAAGTTACAAGGTAGAAAAATTAAGTACGTACCAATGAGTGACTCCCCCTCACTTAGCTCGAAGCACTGTCCCTAGTGCCCGCCATCACCATCGTTTTTGTTTTTTTTTTATCTCGAAAATATAAAGTTGTGGATTGGGAGAGGGGTGAGTGCTTCCAAGAGTTTATGGATTAGA